TACTCGGAACAAGATATTTAAATATCCGGAAGAAGAAGATAGCTTTAAGCTACCAGAGGCATACAAGCAGCTGCTTAACGCAAGCGAAAAGCCGGAATTGCACAACCAGCCTCGCAGCTTGGATGCAGTTCTCTCTGCACCACCCAGAGACGATGGAAACTCTGATGACTCTGAATCTCTTCGCAATGAAGACGATGATGTGGAGGCTCTTGGAAGAATGAGGACAATAACTAGCGTTCACTCGGCGCCATACACCAACGAGCGGTTCCAAGCCGAAAGGGAGATGGAGCTGCAGCGCACCAAATCTATTCCCATCAGCCCTGAGAAAACAACAGATGGCATTGTTCTTGTGGATTGGTATACAACAGACGACCCAGCCAACCCTCAAAACTGGTCTCGCGCGAAAAGATATTTCATTGTTTTCGTACTGTGCTGTTACACATTTACAGTCTACTGTGCCGGTCCCCTCTACGCCATTGCTGAAGAAGGAATCCAGGAGCAGTTTCATATCAGCGCTGTTGCTTCTACCCTGGGCCTGGGACTTTACGTTTTGGCATATGGTATCGGAGATCTCCTCTTTTCGCCTCTCTCTGAAATCCCTAGCATTGGGAGAAACCCCATTTATATCCTGACATTTATTGTTTACTGGGTTCTGTCGTTTCCTGCGACCGTGACGAATGGTTTTGGAAGCCTTTTAGCTTTGAGATTCTGGCTTGGCTTCTTTGGCTCTCCGGCTCTGGCCAACGGCGGTGCCACTGTTGGAGACATGTTTTCTCTCATGTATGTCCCATTTGGTCTCTCGTGGTGGGTGTTTTCCGCATGGGCTGGCCCGTCTATTGGTCCAGTCATTGGAGGTTTCGCCGCGCAAGCCAATGGATGGCGGTGGGCCATGTGGGAAATTGTGTGGATGTCCTCAGGCTCATTAGTTCTCTTATTGCTTTTCATGCCGGAGACATCAGCACACACGATCCTACTGCGTCGTGCGCAGCGATTGCGCAGGTTGACAGGTGATTCAAGACTTCAGGCTCAGAGTGAAATTGATCAGCGCGACATGGCCCCATCCGCAGTCCTCTGGGATGCACTGATCAAGCCTTTGGAGATTATGATGAAGGATCCGTCCATCTTTTTTGTCAATCTTTATACTGGATACTTCTATGGCGTCTTCTATACGTTCTTCGAAGTGTTTCCTCTAGTTTTCCCCGTCTTCTACGGCTTTAACCTTGGAGAAACGGGCCTGACATTCTTGGCCTGTCTCGTTGGTGTTATCCTTGGTCTTTCTGCCTACTTTGCTTACTTGCAATTCTACATGGTCCCTGATAACATCAAGAATGGATTCAGAGCACAAGAACACCGACTCGTCCCTGCCATTATTGGCTCAATCTTGTTGCCAATTGGACTCTTCATCTTTGCCTGGACGGCCAGGTCCAGCATTCATTGGGTCGTTCCACTTGTCGGAGTGGGCATCTTCTGTTTTGGCCACTTCTGGACAATGCAGTCTCTCTTCATTTACATTCCTCTCTCTTACCCCAAGTACGCCGCCTCTCTGTTCGCCAGTAACAGTATTTGGCGATCGGGCATTGCCGGTGGAGCTGTTGTCTTCGCGCGGCCCCTGTTTATTAATTTGGGCGTGGACAGAGGTGTTACACTGCTTGCAGGGTTGAGCTGCGCCGGCATTTTTGGTACTACGGCAATTTGGTACTTTGGCGCGAGACTGCGGGCTCGATCTAAGTTTGCCGTCTAATATGGCACAGATCTGACCAGTGGACTGTTCCAAGTCAATATTCGGCTTTTCAACCTGCTTCAGATTAATGGCTGCCAGTCTATGGGAGCCTCAATTTCTTACACGACGGGTCGCATTTAAGTTATTGGTGTGGTAAACGGTGCTTAATTCAGAGAATGGATAATGAAAATGGGGTTTATGTGGAGTTTGGCTGGCTTTGATAAATTTATAGATTTCCAAAATTGCTTGAATAGAACGATGTATCTCAATAAAATAAATAATCTTTACCTATTTGGCTTTTCCGATTCTTCTATTCTTCCTAGCCTGATGTTTTGTTGTCGACACTAGAGTACAGCTATTGGGCATTCCTACCACGCAGGTGCTTGATATGAAGAGATCATCTTGCTGTATCCTCCACCTTTTCTATTGAGGAAAAGAAAGATTGTGAAGCTAAAATTTCTTATCGAAACTGACGGGTTGAAGCTATAAGCGTTTATTCACCGTCACTCGACCTAGCAGAAGCTTCCGCGAGCATTTGTGCCATCAAAGCTGCTGCCTCCTGTGCGTACTTGCACTTCAATCGTATCATCTCTCCATATTTGAGCATTACAAACGGAAATGGCAAGCATAAAAGTGTCAAGAAGGCCGGTATTGTACTTGCCCAATGAATGCCGATACCATCATACATCTGGTCTGTGAATAGTGGAAAGGCTGTGCCAAAAAAAGCTCTGAGCATCGCTGAGGCTCCCAGAACCGATGCTGCATAGATTGTATATGCATCAATCAGATAATTGAGACAGGACAAGAACACCAACACGCATCCGAAGCCAAATGGCGCGGAAAGGATGATACTAGCGGACCAGTGGATGCTGGGTGAGTTGGTCCACGCAAAAGCAAACAACCCGATGGGCAAAGCAACAGAGCCAACCGCCGCAGGAGGGAGCCTAGACTCGGGCGTAGCTGCTTTTCCAAGCCTCTTATATCGATTGTCGTCGAAGATGGCGTATACAATTCCCACTAGCATGCCGCAAACTAAACCGAGGAAAGCCAGGCCTCCCACTCCTTCGCTCCATCCTCGACCCCGCTGATAGACGATGGGCAGTGCTGGCATGAACATGTATATGGTACCGTATATGATTGCCAGGTAGGTCGCGGCGATTAAGACGATAGGTTCGCGGAATAGGAGAATCCAAGGTCGCATGAGGGCTTTGCGGAAGATCTCCGATGGCGCCAGCGCACTATTACGCTGCTGGAAAACGGTCGTGTATGTGTTGTTCGTTTCTTTCGAGAGTTTCTTCGCTCTTCTTTGCAATATCACTGGCGCATATGTCTCTGGAACGAATATCGAGCCGGCAATCCAGACAACGCCAAGAAAGATGCTGCATACCCCTTGCACCCATCGCCATCCAACGTTCATCGATATAAAACCGCCAACGATGGGGCCCAGAACCGGTCCCATGAACGGCGCGGCACAAAAGAAGATCATTGCTAAGCCTCGCTGGGAAGCTGGAAACAGATCGGCAATAACTCCCCCGGCATTTGTCAATGGCGATGCGCCAAACATTCCCGTCAGAAACCTGAAGACTAATAGCGTTGCCATCGAGTTTGCTCCCGCTGAGCCGGCCACAAAGGCTACCATGCATGTATGTGTTGTAATAAAGAGGATTCTTCTTCCATAAAGCTCTGACAGCGGCGCCCACAGCGCAGGCCCTATAGCAAATCCAAGTACATAGAGAGAAATGCCCAGAGCAAAGAGTTCCGAGCTGCAATGGAATTCCTTGAGTATTTCGTTCGCGGAGCCCGAATAGGCAGAGGAGGTCAGAGTGACAGCGAAGACAGATACTGAGACAATGAAAATGATGAACCACTTTTTGGCGGGAGAGTAATTCATGGCATTTCGAGGGTCATCAAACTGAAACTCGACAATGTAGGGATTCGAGTCTGTTCCATCTCCGTTGTAATTTTTCGATGTCGGAGACTCATCTTTGTCTGTCTTGCCGACTTGGATGATGGCCATGGTTGTAAAGTGGCGAGTTTAGCAGATGGGTAATCAGACTTGTGAAATCAAGACAGAAGCTAGTGGTTATCAACATATTATTTACTATATATACTGCTTCTGATCCCTTGCGACTCCTTTGCCCGTCACTCCGACAAGTTTATAAGAGCTCGGAACCTGTTCCGAAAGACAGGCAAGTTGCCGGAAGCGCTTATGAATGGCCAGTATGCTAAAAGTTGGCTTCATTGCCCCATAAATCCTCACTAATGATTAACATGATATTGAATTTCTGACCAGGTTTTGGATTGGCAGTATAAACGTCCGATGTCGCTATATTCTATGCTCTCCCTCTAGTAGAAGCGGTATCAATATCCGCGGATCTAGAGCCATCTACTGGAGTTATCGCCGAGCAACCAAGTTTCGTCTGTAAAGAGCTTTACTTTTAAACGATGAGTAGAGAGAAATTGTGCAGCCAGATGAGTCTACCATCAGTTGCGCAAAGTTACTTTAGCTCATTCAATAATACAACCAACTAATATCGTTACAAATAGGACTCTATAGCACGCGCAGGCATGCCTGGGTATAAATTCTCATCGGAGTAGCAAAGAAAGGAATCCAGGTGCAATCAGTATCACCCCCCTCCCCCCGCCTTTCTGGTGTATACATCAAGTTAACAGTCCATAGCTTTCTTCTTTATAACCAAGTTTCATTGACATCATCAAAGAGGAAGCCGTCATTGTGGAGGCCAAATTCTTCAAACATGTCGTGAAATTGCGCATCCGACAATTGTTCCAGTGAATCGCTGCGCCCTGGCTGTCGTATCTTCCTTGACAATGATTGAAACAGAGATGCAAATTGCGGTACGTATGAACAGAGATGTTCATGCCTCTTGATACCTGAGAGTGTCTGCTGCCAGCTCTCTGAGACAGATGGTGTAAATAAATCCACAGATTGCATCGCCGCAAGCAAGATAGTACCCGCCATATGGAGGTGAAAGATACGATACCACCAAGGGACGTTGGGCGTTGATCTCCCAGAGTCTTCGTCAACAAGTGAAATCATTTTCTGTGCAGCTTCAACGCATTGCAGAGCACCATATCGTATCATATGGCCTTTGTAAGAGGTGTCATAGTGCGGATCGCTGACTGCGCAGGAGCTGTGTTGTAAGAAGCAGCAACGTGCTAGCATCGGTCTGAATAGCAGGATTCGAGCATGCAATAAGCTGAAATTCCATGAGAATGAGTCATTAGAGCAAATGCTGTTAGCGGGAGGATGGTGTGAACGTTACCGAAGTTTGAGAATATGCCTTCGCAGCTTCAAATCGTGATTTTCGCTTTCTTCGAGAGGCGTCGTGCCGAGCCTTGCCTTCTCCCATTGGATCAGGCAAGATTCATGCTGTAACACTACGCTACAATAAGACTCCTTTCGCTGGTTCTGTCCAGACAGCCCAAATTTCTCAGCCACATTGCCACTAGTTGAGGTCTGTGCCTTGACGAAATAACGACTGATTTCATATAGCTCATTTGTCTCGGGCAAGTAGTTATCGTAAGAATACTTTCTACTTGTGCTGCTCGGCAAGGCCTCCAACGATGTTATTAAAGTGTGGCCCAGCATCCAGGATATCGTTCTTGGAACTGTTAGAGCTAGTTTTGATCAATTTCTAGTGGAGTGAACATACATGTCAGCATACACGCAGCAGTTCCAAAGATGGTGTTGCCAGTGCGCTTGATCATCTGAGATGCCAGAGTCTGAAGTTTTGGGGAGATGAATTCGTAGGCTTTGCGCAATTCGTATCGCCAAGCCTACTGCCATCCATGTTTGGTGTTGATTATTCGTACATTGGAGGTATCGGCTCATTAGTAATAGACATTCGACAATCTGTAAAGACGGCGGCTCCCAAAGAATAGTTTCCGGGTTTAGTAAATTCCATGCTCTCAGGAAGTATGTATTTGCGGCTGCATCTCTTTCTGAAGCTACCTTGGACTCGTGAGATTGAGTAGCAAAGGCAAACACAACGTTTAAAGTGCAAATGAATGTATGCTCATCCGTTCCCAAGTCCCCTCCTGCGAACAAGGCCTCGTATGAGCGACAAAATCTTTTCTTGTCAAGAAAGCAGTCTACCGGATTAATATACCTCCAAAAAGCGTGTAGTAGTTCATCAGCTTGTCGGCGTGGCGGCAAAACCTTGTCCAGATGCTCGTCGCTGGGCCGTCTGCGAGGCAGCTGTAATTCGAATAACGGAGCATCTGACATTGGCATGGCATTGGAGAGGCCATTGGGAATTGCACCAAATCTCGCATCAATGGCGGCTTTTACTTCTCCGGCAAATGTACCGGGGCTGCCACTGTATCCAATACCGGGAATCTTTGTCGCCTGCTCTTGGGTTACTGTAGTCGCATTGACTTGATAAATACAGACGTGTTGTTTCTTATGGCAGTTGCCGCAGGCTAAACTATCGTTGAGACTTGATTTGAGACGTTCATTGACTGTGATGGACAAATCATACCTGGGCGCATTCCATCGCACTTTATCTTCTTGGAGCGACACAACTCACAGGCGTTTCCATTGCCGATCTTCAATTTTTTCCTTGGCGGCGCTCCCGAGCTTGGAGATTGCGAATACGAGTCCATGAAGACTACGCGTGCTCTTTCTCAGACGCGAAATGTCGGCACCAAATGGTACCTTGTCGATTGTATAATTATATAACTGTATGATTGAGGTAATCGAGGTAATTGAAAGACCTTGCTGTCATCCGCTGATAACTTGCGTATAGCAGCAGAAGAAAGCCGCGAAGGCCCAAAGTTAAGGTGCACATGGATTACATCGGCTTGGGCTGGGGATATGAGATAAGGCCAACGACCAATCACAGGGCGTTCCGGTTGTGCTCTGGCTACTCGGAACACGTCCCGATGTTAATAATACAACAGAGGAGAAAACTGTCAAAAGAATGTTATTTACAATTAATTTCTGTTTTTCGCATTCCATCAGCTTATAAATTCAAATTGACATGTGATGTGATGGATTAAATGCCTGTGATGTGTGCTGAGTCACGATGCAGCATCAACAAACTTATGCAATACCATGCGACTAACTGCTGTCGTTGCTATATTCTGGATTCTGGCAATACGTGTAATTAAGAGATCTAGTATGATTTGCTCAACAATGCCTAGTTGACCGCATGTTTTTTTTTGTTTGCAATTTATGAAAACGTCGGTATGTATGTTTAAATCTCAATTGCTTCCAGAGATTACAATGTCTAGGGTACCGATAAGTGGATTGCTAATAGGTACCTAGGTAGGTAGTATACGATTGCTCTTCTTACAGGTATCCTAAATAGTCCGCACATCTCTCATATCATTAGGCGCATACATGTGTAAGAATGTTGACGAGTGTGATGCAGCTCAGATTCCAGAGGGTAAGTCCCCTCCATTTACCGCGTGGCCCTTTTAATATGAAGCCTTAATTGTTCAGTACAAGAAGCCCTTCATGTCACAAATCTGCGCGGAAAATTCTCTCCATTGACCGCGTAGCCCTTTCAATTAGAAGCCTTTGTTGTTCAATACAAGAAGCTTTCATGTCACAAATATGCGCGTACCTCTATAGTTTAATGACAAGTAAACTTTTCTTCGCTAACTGATTATTTGACTTCTTGGGCAGGCTTATTTTTCTTCCGCCCAAACGTCGTAACCAAATGTATCCTTCATATTGACAAACCGAACATGTCGTCCTTCAGCAACCTTTTGAATCTCTGCAAAGTCCTCTTCGGTCAACTCTGGAATGATGAAATTGCTCTCAATGCGACTCGGGGTTGAGCTTTTGGGTAGCACAACATAACCTCTCTTTAAGCCCCAAGCCAGGAGAACCTGAGCAAGGCTGGAGCCTCTACGTTCTGCAACCGCGTTGAGAGTTGGGTCATCCCGTACCCGCTCACCAGTAGTTGGCACCTGGTTTTGTGAACCCAAGGGGGAGTAAGCCTCGGGCAAGATGTTGTTTTGAAAGCAAAAGTCCACGAGCTCTGTGTTGGGCAGGAATGGATGAATCTCAATCTGGTTGACCGCTGGCTTGATCCTTGCGAATTCCAGAAGTTGCTTGAGTCCTGGAATCGTCCAGTTGGATACGCCAATCGCCTTCGCGATGCCACTGTCAACCAACTCCTCCATTGCTCGCCATGTTGGCTCAGGGTTTTCTGTCAACGCTTTGTTGATGACGTATTTCCCATCCGGGCCTAGTTTGACTGTCCTGTCCGCGTTCTTCTCGGCGGCAATTGGCCAGTGTACAAGGAACAGATCAATGTAGTCAACCTTGAGGTTTTCGCACGAGTTCTTGGCGCTCCACTTCACATCCTCTGGCTCGTGAAGATGGTTCCAAACCTTTGTGCAGATAAACAGATCCTTGCGGGTGACATCGGGTCTGCGAGCGAGAAAATCTCTTATCGCGTCGCCAACCTCGTCTTCGTTGTGATAAAACCACGCACAGTCGAGGTGCCGATACCCGACATCCAGGGCCTTTGTGACAGCTGCGTAAGTTTCGCCCTTGGCGCCCTCGTTGGCAAAGGTGCCGAAACCAACAGCGGGTATCTTGGCCCCGGTGTTGAGGGTATAAGTTTTCGAAGAGAGTGTCGTTTGACTTGTGTTTGTCGCCATTGTGAAGCTCAATCTCGTCACTGAGAAAGTCGGGTATGTAGTCTTAGGTAGGTTGAATGAAGTAAGTGAATGTCCCGTCCGCGTATAAAGCTCAAGATAAGGTGACAAGATATCGTTATCGTTGAGAAGTTTCGAGATGATGCGTGTCCAGCCCCTGCCAAGGAACGTGGATCAATTTCTGAGCTCGTCGTTTCTTATAGAATAATCCCTCCTAGCGGTGAGATCAAAACGCTCAAAAGCTCAGAAGCTGAGGCAGTGATGCTATTTAGTTATCCACAATGATGCGATTCAACAAAAGTTGCCCACAATAGTGGAATTGCTGCTGTAGCCAACAGGGTTTTTTACCCACCTTAGTCGTATCCAATGACGCAAGAGGCGGGTAAAATATGGCTCCTTGAGAACTATAATAAAGATCTACCTTTTTTTTTTCCTTCGCGAAGTTTTGCCCCCGGCGATACCCTGCTGCCCTGATAGGAGAGCTGATAGGGGAAAGACAATAGACTTCGGCACGTGCTGGCGTGCCATTCTGTCCACCGAGTTTGACGAATGCCATGAGATGAAACAGCCACAAGAGACCCGCAGGCTCCATCTTTCTGGGCTGCTTTGCGCCTTAGCCATGTTTTCGACTGGAGCCGGCCCATCCGACTGGCCCATATCGCGACTCCACAATTCGAAATCTCTTACACCGAAATCAACGTCTAGGTGGAAATCCGCCCACTGGCAGGATAAGCTGTGGATAAGACGAGCATCAACTATGCCGACTCAGTGCCGATGATGACGACGGACTCCTTAAGCAACAGGCAGATTTCACATTCTATTGGACTGAGATGGCAAATTGTGGCACAGAGAGTGGTCCTTGGCGACTGCAACAACAACGGTGAGGAAAGGAGAGAGTACGGACTTGAGGCGACCGGTGTTTTCATATGAGAGCCATGACATCAGAGCTGAATCATGTACAAACCTTCTTGTGTAGACCAGTGTATCTTATTATCGAAAATCAGCTCTACTGACTCCACTTGCTCAACGGATGAGCTCTCCTATATATGTTCTTCCTCGGCCGTGTATTAAAGGCAGAAGCCCGTGCTGTCAGCAAATGTTGAAAACAAACTACCCATAACCTTTATTCCGTAAATCATAACCACCATGGCTACATTCGACGATGCCGATTTTGGCGTGGAAACGCCCACACAGCCTGTGCAGAGCAGCCAGCCAAATGCTGCCGGTGATGACACAGCAAACCCACCTCATGCTGGGTCTTTGGCTATTCCAATGTCACCAACCTCGTTCTCTCATGACGCCATTGAGATACCTGCCACACGATCTCCTCACGCTGATGCGTCCAAGTACATGCACAATCTTTCCTTGACACCCTCAATGAGAGATAGAAGAGCGTCTCGAAACTCTTTCGGAACCTCTCTGCCCATCCCGCGTTCCAAGAGACAGTCTCGTCTCAGCTCTGTCCATCACATCGACCGAGATGCGATTGTGGGATCAGGCGCAGTTCCTATTCAAGCCACAAGGGAGATCCTGGCAGCACAAATCCAAGATATCTCTGCCGATAAGACTAAGAAGGCCAAGAACATGGCATTTGTCTTCGACATCGACGGTGTACTGGTGCACGGTGATCGACTGATCCCAGAGGGAAAGAGAGCCCTAGAGATTCTGAATGGAGACAACGAGCTCGGCATCAAGATCCCTCACATCTTCCTGACCAACGGTTCAGGCAAGCCAGAGCTGGCCCGCACACAGCAGCTCTCCAAGATCTTGCAGAACCCTGTCAACACAGAACAGTTCATCCAGTCACACACTCCCATGCGTGCTCTGGCAGAGTACTATGGCACAGTGCTGGTAGTTGGTGGCGAAGGATACCGCTGCCGAGAGGTTGCCGAGCAGTATGGATTCCGCGACATCGTAGTGCCAAACGACATTGTCGCATGGGATACCACTATCGCCCCTTATCGTGTTTTCACAGAGGAAGAGCGTGCCAGCTCACGGCCTCGCGACTTCTCCCAGGTCAACATTGAGGCCATCCTTGTTTTCTCCGACTCAAGAGACTACGCCACCGACATGCAAATCATCATTGACTTGCTCCGATCTGAGGACGGTCGACTGGGAACCATTGCCGCCGACCCAGTCTCTCAGCGGATCCCCATCTACTTCTCACAGGGCGACATGCTCTGCCCTACAGAGCATCCCATCCCTCGTATGAGCCAAGGCACGTTCAGAATCGGCCTTGAGGCCATGTACAAGGCGCTCACTGGAGTTGATCTCGAGCGTGTGGTGTACGGAAAGCCTGAGATGGCCACTTACAAGTACGCTGACGAGGTCATTGCATCATGGATGGAGCAGCTGCACGGCGAAGAGCGCATCCCTGAGAACATCTACATGGTCGGCGATAACCCCGCCTCAGACATCATCGGCGGCAACATGTACGGCTGGAACACTTGCTTGGTGCGCACTGGTGTCTTCCAGGGCGGCGAGAACGATGAGTCCAACCCAGCCAACTTTGGCGTCTTCACCAACGTGCTGGAGGCTGTGAAGGCTGCCTGCCGCAAGGAACTTGGAGAGTCGTTCAATTTTGAATGGGATGATCGTGTCAACCCCGTGCTGCACGGCTCCAAGCAAGTTGCATCGGCCATTGAGTAATTGGACTGCTCTGCGATATGGACAAAAACTGCTTGATATTTTTCTGCATGGATTTATGAAATGGAATGGGCCGGCGCATTATATGCCACACAAAAAAAGGAATAGACATCATAGCGACTTTGATCATGAGTGGCATATCTTTCATATATGTCACAAATAAGTGCCAAGGCTGGCGACCGCCTCCTGGCTGGCTGTTATTTATTATTGAAAAGTTACATACTGGATTATATAGACTAGGCTTCACATCTGATCACAACTCAGAATATACCTCCGCTTATCTCAATGAACAAATTGTATTATGTAAACTTTAGGTGCTACCTGCCTGTTCTAGATAGTCGAAA